TTTTTTTTTAACATAAAGATGGGCACCAGCGACTGGCCTGTGGGGATGCAAAGATTCTTTGCTCTGTATCTAGCTGGACTGATCTCACAAGAAGTCATGCAGTCATAAAAGAGACTTCCTTTCTCTCCTCCATCTTCTGCTCCAGAGGAAGTAACAAGAGGAGTCCACGGCTAAAGATCAGAGCCCCTATAATATCTCCCGTCAGGGGCCTGATGATCTCTCTCATTCCAACCGTCTACCTTTTTCCCCTGTTGAATGCAATAAAACTCTGTGACACCAGCAGCTGTTGCTCTTTAGAAATTGGTTTTCTGACCATGTGGCTGATGTATCATGAGCAGTATGGTCTTCATTTGTTGCTTCTGTTTTTCATCTTTTTTGTTTTATTAATTAATAAAAAAACATCTTGTGTATTTACTCCCATTGCTGTCATTGTATAGGAAGTAACTTATTGAAGCCATATTCCTTCACAGGCATGCCTCCCCTCCCCCACTTTCCTGAGGAACACTGTGCTTAGGGGTGTGGAGACCAGATGAAGAATTGATCTTTAAGGTGTTGGGCTCCTAACTAAGAATGTGGCTTTCTAGATAGATAGCTGTGAACTTAAAAGGCTGTGAGGGGTGTGCATGGGAATGAAAAACTTACTCTCCAGCTTTGTGGGAGTTCAGCTATGGGTTGGGGCAGGGAGAACAGATGATGTGACTGCCCCTCTTCCCCCAGGGTTCTGGGCTTGATCACACACCCATTCTTGTAAAGGTGAGTGAACCTCTCAAAGCATGCATGAAGGAGCTAAAAGAAGGCACTGGGTGTCCCCCAGGCTTCCTGGGAAAGATATCCTCTCTGCAGAGCAGGAAGAGGACAGCAGGGTCCTGGGAAAGAAAAAAAGTGACCAACCCTCCAGCCCAGAGGGGGAGTGAAGAAAGGGGTGGATAAACAGAGGTTGTTGCCAGTCTGGGAGATCCAGCACTGTTTGGCTGATGAGGTCTTTTGGCTGGTGGAAAAACCTGGCTTGATGTGGCCCCAGGGAAGTGAGTTGGACTGGGGGCGGAGATTGCTCTGATGTGGGAAGCAGAACAGAACAGAGCTGTTTTTTTCTTTGAGAGTTTTTAACTCTATTTAAACCATAGACTTGACATCCCCCCCCCCCCC